CGGCCGCGACGCCCTCTCGCGGGCCGAAAACGGCCGATTCCTTAATCGGCGTGGCAGGGCAGGAGGTCTGTCCCCCCCCGACCCCCCCCCCCCCGTGGTCCTCCGGGAGGGGAGCGGGGGGCCCCTTCAGGGACGCACGGGCAAATGCACACAAAGCCCAGGATTCCCCATGGTTTCCCAGATCTTCTGGGTTTTCACCTTCCCCCCCAAGTCCCTGTCCACCCCCGAGTCGCGCTATCATACGCAGCGCTGGGAAACAAAAAGCGTCGGAGAGCGCCGGGGCTCTGCCTCGGCCACGGCGAACTCCGGCCACGGCGAGGCTCCACACATCCAAGAAGTAAGAAGCGCGGCCCGAGAGCGTGAGGAGGAGGAGGAGGAGGAGGAGGAGGAGGAGGAGGAGGAGGAGGAGGAGATGAGGCCCTCCGGGCACGGATGTGAGAACCGGGAAGGGCGAACACCACCATCAGCGAGGGGCGCCATGGTGGGTCCTTCTGGCGGTGTGGCCCCTCCCCCCCTCTCGCTCGAGACACCCCCCGTCCCCAGCTCGGGGATGCATTGTGGCCCCCTCGCGGTGGCCCTCCCGGGTAGTGGTGGTGTCGCCTCTCCTTCCTCCGAAGGCTCGAAGGTAAGACGACGGCAAGATGAGGACAAGTTCGGACGAGGATCGGGAATCTCTCAGAGCTGGCGAGTCTGGCGGAGGTATCTTGCGCCGCGGCCGTACCAGAGCGTCTAGAACGCTCTAACCAATCTACCTTTTCTCCCCCGGGCCAACTTTTTCATCCTCGGGGCTGATTTGGGCCTCTTGTCATCCTCGGGCTTCTGGTTTGAGCAGTTACCGACCATCCCGGCATTACTACAGGCGCACCACGATGTGCTTCCCAGAACAAAAGAGTGTCAACATAACAACAGCAATGTTCTCATACAAGAAACCAAGATCAATATAGCAAGACGACATGGTCTAAGAACATCTTGTGCAAACCACAACAGGTTCTGAGAGCACTCTCTGGAGGCCCTCTGGAAGGTCAGGACGCTCCGCCACTGATTGGCTGGTGGACTTCTGGGGGGCCTGCTGGTGGTCTCGGGGGTCATCTTGGGGCGGAGGGCACGGGATGTACTGTGCGGGCGCGGCCGCAAGAAACCCTCGCAAGAAACCCAACCCCCAGAACCCGCGCGCGAGGTGCACCGGAGGGGAAACCTGGAGCACCCTGAACGCAGCAGCTCCTTCAGCGGCCGCGGGAGGTCGCCGCGCAGCGCGAGGAGCAGAGAAACCGAGGATACCCTGACGAAACGCATATGGTTTCTTGAGGACACACAAAGAACTACACACAAATAAAACTATTCCCCCATATCTCCCCATATTTTCTCTGCTGTTGTCTTCCCCCCCACTTCCCATATTTTCTCATATTTTCCGGGGACTCGATGATTCATTGTGTCTGTGCGTTTTTGTTCCCTCCTGAATGTGCTCGGAATCTGTCGTGGCCTGGGCCCCACCGGCCGATTCCCCCCCCTGGACGGGGACGTAGGCTGCTCCCTTCGGGATTCGAGCGGCACACTCCCGACTGGGGTGGTGGGATGGGGGGGGCTGAGATACCCTTTGGCGACTCCGAAGGGTGTGGAGGGTGTGGTTTGCAACCCGCGCCTGGGCGGGGGCGGGCGCTCACTTCGACAGAGTTCTCTCTGACGCGCCCCGACGAGGGTTCATCAAACCCTTGGCGCAATGTGGTGACCCCTCAACCCCAACGGCGCCGATCGCAAACCACATCCCGGCGTCACTACACCCACAGTACAGTCAACCGGTTTAGTAAGGATGCGCGATAGGGATGCAAGGGCCTTAGAAGCCCATTTCGAAGCTTTTCGAGCGGGGCGCGGCCAACGAAATTGGCCAAGGATGGACCGAGGAGGCAAGGATGCAAGGGTAAGGTTGCCCATCCTTACTATGCGGGTTGACAAGAATCGCCGAACCATGGCCTGGAGGGGATGTGGATAGTTAAGGCAACCGACGCCCAGCGGCGGGGGCGGATGCGGCCCCCGCCGCCGCGAGGAACCGCCACGACGGCGGCGGTCGCGGCAGTGGCGGCGATGGCGGGGGCGACGGCGGCGGCGGCGGCGGCGGCGACGACGACGACGACGACGACGGCGGCGGCGGCGGCGGCGGCAGCGGTGGCGGCCCCCGCCGCCACGAGGGGCGCGCCTGGAACCGCTCGGCGCTGCCCGCGAACTGCAGGCCGGCGCCGCCCCCCCGCAGGTCGCCGCCGGGCGCCGGGGCGGCCGCGCCCGCGAACCTGCCGCGGCCCACCGCCGGGCGGCACCGTCGTGGGCACCGTCGTCGGCGCTGTTCGTTGACGGCGTCGGCGTCGTCAGCGTCGTGGGCGCCGTCGGCGGCGTTGCCGTGAGCGCCGTCGTGAGCGCCGTCGGCGGCGCGTCCGTCAGCGCCTTCCGCTGGTCGTGCTGGCGTCGTCCAGGGCGCGCTTAGATGGTGGCGGGTGGCGGCGAGCCTCCCTCGACCTCCTGGAGCTTCCAAGGGGCACCGAGGCCCCCGACGGGCTCCACAAAGTCTCAAGGAGCCTCCCGGGGGCGGGGGCGGTGATGACGACGACGGCGAGGGCGAAGGCGCGACCGGGGCGGACGGCGTAAGACGAAGCCGGAGCGAGGAGAACACCAGGTGAGGATGAATCGAGAACCTCTGAGAGCCTGCGGCTCTGGAGGAGGTCTTGGGCGCCGCGGCCGACTGCCAGAGCTCGCTACTCGTCGGGGACAGTGCCCGACGGACTCGTCGGGAGCTGATGTCGCCACTGCCCGCTCGGAGCGAAGTGCCGATCCCCCTCTCTGCCTCTCTCCAAGGTGGAGGACGAGGCGGGGGAAGAGGAGGAGGAGGAGGAGGAGGAGGAGGAGGAGGAGGAGGAGGAGGAGGAGGAGGAGGAGGAGGAGGAGGAGGAGGAGAGAAGGACCAGAGGAAACCCGGGGTGCATCAGCGATCCTGCAGTACACCCTTCCTACTCCCGAAGCCTGCAGAGGAAACTCTGCCGATCACATGCGTCCATCCTTCCACTTCGGCACATCCCTCACACGGATCGCGTCCCACAGGGGGGCCCCACCTTGGATCCCAGTGGGAGGGTTTGCATGCGCCCCCCCGGAATGTTTCGGCACACAGCGCACCCCTCATGTGGATGGGCCCAGTCGGAGGGTTTTGCATTCGCCCCCCCCCCCCCCGCACATGTCGGCACAGCCCTCAACCGGAAAGCGCCCTACAGCACGTTTGGCCCCAGTGGGAGGGTTTGCACGCGCCCACCCCGCCTGTGTCGGCACACGGCATACGGCGCACCTATCATGTGGATCGTGCCCCGTGAGGAGCTCCGTGGGCCCCTGTCGGTGGGCTTGCACCTCCCCCCCCCGCCTCCCCCCGCACATTTCGGCACACCCCTCACACGGATCGTGCCCCATAGGGGGCCCCACCTTTGTCGCCAGTGGAAGGGTTCATCCATTCCGGCACACCCTTCACACTCATGGTGCCCAACAGGTAACTGCAGCTATGGCCTGAAAGGGTACGCTCGCGTTCGGGACTCCGCCTATTCCGGTGCACCTCGCATGCGGCTTGTGCCCCGCAAGGAGCTCCCTCCCCCAGAGCCTGTGGATGCGCTCGCATGCTTGCCCACGCCAAGATCGGCACACCCCCGATACGTATCGTGCCTCTGAGTTTTGTCCACTGCTTTAATACGCTCGTTCGCATGCCAGCCTCTGCCCATCTTGGCACGACCCTCATGAAGATCGTCTCCCTTAACAATTCAGCGTGCCTCTACGTGCTTGCTCTGGAGCCCCCTATCCGCACTCACCCTCGGCGCTCGCTTTCCCAGGGTTGGGTCCATCGCTCAGCATATTTCAATCGGAACGTCTTAGGTTCCTCAAAGACAATGCTCCCGCTGCGGCGCTGGTCAAACTTCTGGATCGCTGATGTGCTCCAGTTGCTCAGAGTTGCGCTCTCGCTCGCCTTCTGCGCGGGCCACTGTTATGTATCCGATTCTGGAGGAACCATGAACTTTCGGTGGTCCGCGCGGATTTCTTGGATGGCGCTGGACCCACCTCCCTGACGCGCGGATCGCTCCAGGAGTGGCGCCGGAGGCGCCGCCAGGAGGGCCCAGCGCCGATCCATGAAATTCGCGAGGAAAGTCGAAACTGTATGCTTATGTTGGTTTTTGTTCTTCGGGTTATAGACCGACTCCCTCCTCGTCTAGGCGGCGCGCACAATGAGGTGGAAGGAAAGGGGATGGCTTCTCAGGAGGCTGCTCCTCAGAAGGCGCTGGCCTTACATCTATAGACGAGGCCCGCGCCCTCTAAGAAGCAGGGGTGCTTCTGAGCAGCCTGCCCCTCCTCCCCTCTCGTCCCTCCAGCTCCCTAGGATGCCTGCTGTTGCCCTTCGTCCCGCCCCAGCGCGGGCCACTTTTCCGCATCCGAGGCGCAGGTCGGCTATGACGCGCGCCCGCGCATCGAGAGGCATCAGCGCCATGGGAAGGGATGGGAGAGGAGGAGGAGGAGGAGGAGGAGGAGGAGGAGGAGGAGGAGGAGGAGGAGCGCCGTGGGAAGGACTGGGAGGGGGGGGGATCGGATGTCAGAAGAGGCGCGAGCGCGCCTGGCTTCCCCGCTCTGCGCGTGACTGGTAGAGCCTCCGGGCCATCCCTCTCGGGCCTCCGGCGGTCGCTTGAGGCCATCCGGGCACCTCCTGGAACGCCCTCGGCGAGGAGCCGCCGCCGGGCAGCACCCCCGAGGCTGGACGGCCGCCGAGAACCGACGAGCACGCTCGAAGACCTCGGAGCCTCGAGCCTCGAGACGTGGCCCCCCCTCCCTCGAGGCCTCGCACCTCGAGACCCCGCGCCTCGAGACCTCGAACCTCGAGGCCTCGAGGCCTCGAGGCCTCGAGGCCTCGAGCCTCGAGACTTTGCCCCCCCTCTGCGCGTGGCCGATCGTCGGCGCCGGGCCCCGTCGCCACCCGCCTCCGCCATTCCCCTGCTGCTGCCGCGCCCGCTCCGCCTGCCCCCCCCCCGCCCCTCTCCGCCCTCTCCCAGCCCTCGGACTCCTCCGAGGCCCTCCCGAGGGCGACGTGCTCCCGCAGATGCCCCCCGGTATTTCCGGGGCCCGGGGGCACACGACGGAGCAGGCGCACAGATCCCAGGAGTCCCAGTGCTTCTCCGTGCTCCCTCGGCGTTTGTCTTCTCCGTCCATCCCCCATGCTTTCCTGCATGGTCATGGACATCTACGACGACTCGTGTCTGTGCTTATTTTCCCCTCCTGGTAGATGGGGTCCGATCAGATGGGGTTGGAGAATTGGACCGACTCGCCGATGCATCGGCGCCGTCGGCGTGGAGAACATCGAGCTCCACATCGAGCTGAATCGCCGATGCATCGGCGATGCGGAGTGATCCTCCGACCCCATCCGAGCATCGCTCACACGATCTCTATCCCCACGGGCGTGGCCTGGGCCGCACTCGCCGATTTACCCCCCGAGATGGTGGGATCGGGGTAAGGATCGGTGAACCCATGCTGACCATCCACTCCGACCCCTCTGGGGGGCCTAGGGCCTGGCATGCGAGGAAAGCGGCTCGCGCTGCGTTGTTGAAGGGGCCCTGGGACACACCAATAAATACACATACATAAATATATTCCTTGTATTTTCCAATATTTTCTGGGTTTCTGTCTTCCTCCCCACTTCCCATATTTTCCTATATTTTCCTGGGGGTCGACGATTAATTGTGTCTGTGTGTTTTTGTTCCCTCTTGAATTGTAGCCGAAGCTCGGCGACGTGCGGGAGCCGGGTGTCACCGTCGCCCGCCACCTCCTGCGCGGCGTCGGAGTGCCCACTCGTCCGAAGAGGCTCTTTATCGCCTGAGCCATCATGTGTGGATCCTCGAACGCCTGAGCTGAGAATAGGGTACGGCAAGGTCGTGTCGTGACGAGCCTGGCGTTGGTTTCAAACACCGCGTGGATCGTTCAGTCTTGAGCGATCGGCGGCCCTTCGATCGCCAGTTCGTTTCACATGGGCTAGATTTGAACCACTGGTGGCGTTCAACCTTGAACGCCCGCGGCGGGGTCGCTGTCGCGTCAGCACGACACGAAGCGGCACGCTGGTGGAGCGGAAGGCGCAACGGCAATCTTTACCTCATGCTGAATGCCCTTGCGCCGAATATCTTCACCGAGAGCTGTCTTCGGATGCCACACTGACGTCGTGAGCGAGCCGGGCAGTGCCGCTCCACTCCAACTTGGACTCGAGAGGCAGCCCACGTTTTCCGTCGGAGTTCTGGTCGGACTGGGCGCAAATGCATTTCTCTAGCACCGGCACGGCGTGCACCGCGATGGCGTTGCTTAGCAGCTGCCGCCACTATTTCAGCATTCGTTCGGCGATGGGTCATGCCTCGAGCTAGGACGTCGCGATTTCCGACATGCCCGGGTGGGCTGTCACCAAGGTGGGTTCGGTTGGCCACGTATCTGCTGTCCTAACACCTCCCCGAGCCGCGGAACACGTCACCATCCATGCTGCCTTCAAGTGGTGTCCCCTCGCTACCACACCACTTTCTGACTGCTTGAGGCTGGTGAGGTCGGGGACGCACTGACCCAGGGCAAAGCAAACCCGGGCCAGTCGGGATTTGCAAGATCCTGCGCGCAAGCCCGGGTCAATGCACCCCTGGCTCTGCAAGATCCTGTAAAACCTGGCGCTCTGGCTGACTCCCGTTTGCATTGGCCGCCCCTGTCTCAAGGCTCCTGGTGAAGGTGAGAACAAAAAACATCAACAACAATTTTTGACGCTCCGCGTGGATTTCTTGGATCTGCGCTGGACCCCCCTCCCCGGCGCGCGGAGCGCGCCAGGTGCGGCGCTTGAGGCGCCGCTCGGGGGGCCCGGCGCGGATCCAAGAAATCTGCGCGGAGCGCCCAAAAAAGATGTTTATGGCGTTTGTGCTTCTTTAATTTCTATGCCTCCGGCAACGTTCTCAACACTCGTGCGGGGAAGGCCCGCCAGCAGCGCTGAGATCCCGAGGCTGGCTGGGAGGACCGGCGGGCGGCCGTCGGCAACAGTGCTGCAGGCCGCGGCGCCGCGACTGCCCTTCTACTTCTCTGGTCGACGCCAAGACCCAGAGGTCCTGGCGGATTCGATTCCATTTACTCGGGCTTTGACCTTGTTAGATGCTCATTCTGGGAATCTTCTTGTAGCCACTGGCTTCACTCGTGCGTCGAAGCTGCGTCGAACATCCGTCGACTCGAGCCGAACCTGAGTCGAACCTGAGTCGAACTTGAGTCGAACAGATCTGTTAGGTCTCCACAAGACGGTCCCCGAAACGAGCATTGAAACCCTGCGGCCGATCTGTGGCAGAAGAGGCACAGAAACGCACCCGGAGGCTGGCAGGCCCCAGCAAAGACCTGCTGGGCCCGGTGGCCGAGCTCCGCGAACCCCCTGGCGGCCACCTCCTCCTCCTCCTGCTCGCCCTCCTCTTCCTCCTCCTCCTCTTCCTCCACCTC